ATTCTACTGGACCTTCTGGAATTCGAACCGGCGTAGGTGTGTCGAGCTGCGTCCCAGTCAGCGGAGTTACCACGTAACCGCGGAAGCTTCGTTGAAAGACTTGTGATCAAATGCAAACTTTCTGCCTTGTCATGAAGAGGGCCAGTTTGGATGCACACGTAAATGTCCGAAATTACAATCAATAGTCCTTGAGCCGTAAAAAATGTATTTTTTCCCGCACAACACCATTCCCCGTACATCGTACTATCAATGAACGTTGAAGTACATGTTGTACATGAAACCTTGTTTGAGAAGCCGAAACGGAGCGTTCCTAGATTGATTCTTTTTTTTTTACTATGACTTTGTTTTGAGCTGAGATTTAGTTTGGTATTACCTATGACATTAAAGAGCACTGGGGGCGATTTTAGTGTTAGCATGTCCCTGTAAAGAGGGAATCATTAAACAATGTACAAATATGTTACAGCTGGTACGCTTTCCATTCAAGCAATTGCAGCGATGTGAATTTTGAGAAAGAGAACATATTTAGCAAACAATTCTGCCGAGAGAATACTTTCTTTTTATGCTGAACGCGGTTTACAGGCGGCATGACGTGGTGCCAAAGCGGAAAAGCTACCGAAACAATATCAAGTTTGGTCGCTTTTATTGATAAGACTGACCGGAACGTTCCTAGCCAGCTAGATGATTTCTGATGATTTTATTTTCACTTTAGTTTACAATGAGATTACGTCTGACTTCACCTTTGTAGTTGTCGAGCACGACGAGAGCTAAAACGGTTCACACTTTGGCAGTTTTGGATTTGAGTAGTCTTTGCCATTTCTAATGGCCACTGAGGAGTTGCCCCGGGTACTTTAAGACAATAATAATAGTCCTTAGAAGCAAGGCCCGGGAGGAGGGAGGGCATGAAAAAACAACAAAATGTAAGAATGGGTAGAGCAATAGCGGTGACGTGACTTTCGAAAAAATTAATAAATAAATAAAATATCTTGCTGATAATCCCACCGAGAAAACAGCACTCTCAGATGAAAGGGTAGTATGACATGCATGGCGCCATGCCGGGTTAGCTACATACTGACTCAATTCAAGTTTGAAGTGTTGCGTAGCTGGTGAAGGATAGAGATCAACGACGATCCCCGCCTAAGCATCATTTTAAGAACCTTCAAATGAAGAGTAAGAAATTGTTATTGACGAGGCAGACATTATGATCACGACCAGCAAAAAAGGTTGTAAAATCGATCACCTATGCTTAATTAACTATATCGGCTTTTTATGCAAAAGGTAATTTGCCGGGACCGACGAGAGCGTGCATTCGTTTTGCGCGCCTTTCCAATCACGTGGCCAGCTCGTATCTGTGGGCAGGTGACATGCCTCATCCGGGATTCGAACTCGTGACTACTCGTGACTCGTTACCATGGTAGGTGATGAGTTTGGATCTTTTTTAGCAGCCGTGCACGCTACCTATTGCGCCGTGAGTGACCCGCCCACCCTCCGTGGATACGAGTTTCCTCTTATAGTAACCAAAGAAAAGATTTAAAAATGATTGCCAGCAACAAAAATTCTACTGGACCTTCTGGAATTCGAACCGGCGTAGGTGTGTCGAGCTGCGTCCCAGTCAGCGGAGTTACCACGTAACCGCGGAAGCTTCGTTGAAAGACTTGTGATCAAATGCAAACTTTCTGCCTTGTCATGAAGAGGGCCAGTTTGGATGCACACGTAAATGTCCGAAATTACAATCGATAGTCCTTGAGCCGTAAAAAATGTATTTTTTCCCGCACAACACCATTCCCCGTACATCGTACTATCAGTGAACGTTCAAGTAGATGATGTACACGAAACCTTGTTTGAAAAACAGAAACGGACCGTTCCTAGATTGATTCTTTTTTTTACTATGACTTTGTGTTGAGCTGAGATTTAGTTTGGTATTACCTATGACATTAAAGAGCACTGGGGGACGATTTTAGTGTTAGCATGTCCCTGTAAAGAGGGAATCATTAAAAAAAAACGTACAAATATGTTACAGCTGGTACGCTTTCCATTCAAGCAATTGCAGCGATGTGAATTTTGAGAAAGAGAACATATTTGGCAAACAATTCTGCCTAGAAGATACTTTCTTTTTATGCTGATCGCGGTTTACAGGCCGCATGACGTGGTGCCAAAGCGGGAAAGCTACCGAAACAATATCAAGTTTGGTCGCTTTTATTAATAAGACTGCCCGGAACGTTCCTAGCCAGCTAGATGATTTCTGATGATTTTATTTTCACTTTAGTTTACAATGAGATTACGTCTGACTTCACCTGTGTAGTTATTGAGCACGACGAGAGTTAAAACGGTTCAAACTTTGGCAGTTTTAGATTTGAGTAGTATTTGCCATTTCTAATGGCCACTGAGGAGTTGCCTCGGGTACTATTAAACAATATGAACAGTCTTGAGAAGCAAGGCCCGAGAGGAGGAAGGGTATTAAAAATACAATAAGATATAAGAATGTGTAAATATTGCACAAAGAGCTTATGATTAATGCCCCCCCCCAAAAAAAAAAATAATAATAAAAGAAAAAAGAGAAAAAAAAAGAAAAAAAAAGCAGATCACGAGACCATTATTGTACCCTATTTATCTCTCTCTCTCTCTCCAGGTCCGTAGCCAGCAAACTCAAAAGGTTTTTTTTTTCTGAAAAAGTTGACCTTTTATAATGTGTTCCTAGTTCAAATTATACACAAAATTGACCTTTTATTGACAAAATTGGTGGTTCTTCCGAACCCCCAAACCTTCCCTGGCTGCGTGCCTTCACTTACTCACTCACACACACGTACACCTGTCAGAACCTCCGGAGCGAGATCATTTCTTCCTATCTACATCTCTGATCTAGAAAAGTCAGGTATTACACCCTAAATTTCATACTCAACTACCCGGAACCGAACCATGCTGGTGGTAATACACCAAATACAGGCAGCAGTCTGGAAATCCAATACCCTTTGAAATTTAGGGTGAACCAGCATGATCGTTCTGGCTCGAAGTTCTAATTTCAATCATATCTCTAAACCAGTTGTGGTAATGGAAAAAGAAACGTGGCTCTGCACGATACTATAATATATTAAAAGAAAGAGTTGTTGGATAGAGAGAGAAAGGTCTTAAGAAGGAACATTTTAAGCTTCAAGTGTCGACTTTTTATCAACGTATCTTTTCACCATAATGTCTAATTTTTCTCCTAGCAATTTAAGTTTCAAACATGCTAGTTTTCTCAATCATTGCCCCCCTTCTGGCAATTAGAATATGATAATTTTTACAGTTAATCAGACACTTTGAAGTATGTACGTAGGTTTATTAGGTACCAACAACCGACTCATGTCATGTTTATTTTACTAGCCACAGATTTGGAAATACATAGTTCAATAATGTTGTCTTTATGAGTCGAAATAACTTTTAAAATCTGAAAGCCAGCTAGCAAATTGAATTTTAAAAACTTACCTGTCATTTCTCTTGACCGGGGTCGGCAGAGCCGTTACCAGGACGCAGAACCCCGTTAGTGCCAGAGCTACCAGCATCGTTCCTCGGCGATGCTCCAGTGCTGCTGACTTCGGATGACTGTTAGAAGCGGTCATGACAATCGCGACCTGTCAGAGTAAAAAAGGCGGATCTTATTGGATTTGAAATCACAAATTTCACCCTCAACGATGCATTCTAGAGATGTCCATCGCGTTAGATGAATTATTACTCACTGTCAGTTAAATCGATCAAAGTTAAGTTCTTCGCTTCTTTACAATGTGGCGCCGTAACTGAACGAGATGCTTGAAATAAATAAACACGATAGGGACAGGCTCACGTTGGCAGTAAAAAATGCATTTCAATTCAAAGCATTACGGTATTTTCACATATGATTTCAATTTGAATTATTCATTGCCGGTTTTTAGTTCGATACTTCGTTGCATATTTATTCCATAAGTGGTTTATGCGCTCAATATTATAAGTCGGTTGTCAGCGATCCAGCTTCTTTCTGCATACTATATCATATAGGACCACAGCAATTTTATAACAACAAAACTTTATGAACTGGTGCTTAAATTAAATTGCATTTTAATGTTCTATACCTCAGTGCCATAGCCTCAGTGCCGTTTGCCAATAAAGATGTTTTCACTCATTCTCAATATATAGGTTCATTCAACTTTTTTAATATTCTTAAACGTTAGAGAGCAGAAGAATTGTTTGTCGAAGTGGCACTTACCTCACATCAGTCTAGCAACTTAAAAATACAAAATTAATTACTACATTTATCTGTTATCACTCAAAAACATAAATGAACAAAATGTTTAACCTTCGTTAGTGTCACTCATAGCACTATTTCACTTCCTCCAAATGATCTAGTTTATTTTAAACTTTCATCAGTCGCACTGCAGGGCTGTAGGCTGCGAGGGGGGGGGGGCGTTTTTTACAGTTCTAAAAATATTTATAAAATGTTAGTCCTGTTCTTTTTTCATTCTACAAACTGTAACATGTACATGTAAGTGTTTTTAGTATATGACAAAGTTAGGTTTTTACAGCAGTTAATTTCTCATTAAAATAAACTCGGGTGTGCTTGAAATTAGTGTCTGCTGACAGCAAAACTTCATCAGGGAAATGTTGGCCGGTAAGTAACCGAAAATTTTCTATAGCAATTGATAAAAGAAACTCCATTGATAAACTCGGTGTGTTTGAAATAAGTGTCTATGCACAAAGGTGAGTCAAATAATACAAGTTGCACCATGCAAGAAACACAAATTTAGCAAAAGTACGGGGGTTATTTTAATTGGTTGAAAGTTTAATACATACTTGGACCTGAATGGACGGGTGGATACTAATTTACTATTATTTACCTTCAGGCTTACTTGCCCAGATACCCTGTACACTGGTCCGTCTCTTTCATACTTAACTTCTCGAAGTCTCTTTAACCACGCAGGTCGAATGTGATATGAAAGTTCTATTCAATAACAACAAAGAGACTCAATTGACTGGATAGGCTGACCGACGCCGTCTCCAATAATACATGAATTTACTTTACTTAAGACAGCCGAACTTGGCGTGGCAGCCCCGTTCCTCAAAAACCATATACTATTCGATACAAGTACAAAAACCATCGGCTGTATCCTCAGAAGGTAGACTCTTTTTGGTTAGTAAACGTAGTCCGGTTATTAGGTTGGACGTCACAAGTAGAGTGTAAACGCGCCGTCTGACTACTTTGTGTTGATTGTCCACAAGGTTGGCCTGCAGTGACAGTCATGGCGTCGTTTACGTTTGTCGTTGGGTTGGTGGTGCTATTTGGACTGTATTCTTACGGTAGGTACAGTGATAGTCATGTTTAAGATATAGTGAACGTTTTTTCTTTGCTTTTGTATTTTTTTTAACTACAGACAGAAATGGGCAAACATGCATGGGCAAACATGTCTACGCCCTCTTCTCTTCTTCTCTCCCTCTCTCTCTCACTCGCTCGTTCGCTCTCCCTCTCTGCTCGTAGTTCAAGTATTCGTACCGACTCATATTTCTCACTACCCTCTACCAAGGCCGCATGTTATATTATGTGGACTTTGTCCTTGACAGTGCAGAAAATTCCCGTCAATTTAACCAGATACATATACCTATGTGTGAATACGTAGTGAAAGGTCAATCTGTGGTCCTGGTAGAGGGTAACCTCTCACTGTGTCTTTGATAATCTTGGTTAAAACTGAGAGCTTGATTATAGTAAACAACCAACTGTCCCTGTACGGCCAGAGCTTACAGAGACACTTATCAAAATTCACATTTTTTAATTGCTGAACTATTATTCTTTTTTTTTTTTTTTTTTTTTTTGCATTTGTATCAATTTTATTAGAAGGCACGGTTTCTAACGTGTCGGGTCATTGTTACATTTCCATAATTGATTAAATACTCTATGACGAATCAATATTGTAAGTTGACCCCAGATTCCCTGTACACTCGACCGTCTCTTTTAGTAGTCAACAAAAGCACGCTTTGTAGTTTGGCATCTGAGTCGCAGCTATTTCTTTGTGAGACATGAAAGCCCAACACTGGGCCTGGAGAGTCATATTTTGCAACCAAAGGCATTTTCTTTGTTTGGAAAATGCGTTGCGGCTGCAAAATGCATGTGATTGCAAAATGCTGCCCTGCAGGCATCATATCAGCAGTATTGGCTATTACCTTAAACTCATTGTTATAGATTTTCTTTATTTATATGGTACACTTAGGTGAACAGGAAGCTGGTTTTCTATCAAGTCTGTCACAGTGAACTGACGAAACCGTCAACAGGTGAACCAAAATGTTTGGATCTCTCATAAATGAAAACTTTAATTACTAAAAAAAATAAGATCTAATTTAACTATTCGCGATACGTGAAAAGCCACCTGCCAGGGGAGCTACACCCGGTGTAACATGAAAGTCCGACTCCCATGAAAATCTGACTCACGGAGTCAAAATTTCATAATGAAAATCTGACTGGGGAGTCACATTTTAGGGGAGTGAGATTTTCATGGTACACCGGGACCTCTTTCCAATGGCAGTATTGGCACAGTGAAATCTTTCCCCGCTCTACTGATCTTATACGTAAGTAAGGCTTCTGAAGTGCCATCTGATTCCGTATCCTGTATTGCTGTCTGTTCTGACCTACGGTATATACCTGTATGTCATGGTTACTAGCACAAGGAGAATAAACTGTGCTAACACCTAGTGAATACAATATCTTTATTCGAACACAGTATAATCAGAACACAAGACATAAATATCTACACAGAGGAAGTAAATAAAACTGACCTTTTTCCATTACATTTTTGGTTAAATGAAAAATTAACAGTCTATTAATAAAGTTAAATAGAAAAAAATCAAACGTTAATTATTCACATGAAAAGCCTCATTTTCCGTTGAAGATGCTTGGATAGACATCAAAATAGTGGAGGTTAACAATTTCAATATTGATTGAAGAGAAAAAAATGATTTATTCTTTTAACGTTAGTTACAACAGGGAATTATATCGGATATATATTATATCCGATATAATTCCCTGGTTACAATGATAATTTTGAGAATTTTACATGAACGATGAAATTTGTTTTCCGCTCAGTTTTGATCATTCCTTTCTTTTAAGTTTTGATTACCTATGAGCTTATCGAGAATAAAAATGGGACTTCGAAGACTATTCTTTACCTCGATTGATTATGATTTGCAGGTGAATCAGTCATGTGCTACCAGTGTGAAGATTTGGAGGGAGGCAAGTGTGGTAAAATCTTTACAGCGTCCGCTACTGCCACAAAAGTGAACTGCTCTGTTTCTTGTAAGAAATCACATGGAGGTATAGGCGCAGGCGGATTTGGTAAATACAGAGACACTTATAGACCCCGTTCCCATAGATTTTAGATCGATCTATCCCTGTGGGGAGTCTCACTAGATTACTGTCAGCTTAGTCGGCTTAAGCGTCTGTCCCGCCTATTAAAAGGGGATAATTAACTATGGTGCGCGCTCGGCTGACTGCAATTTAGCGTGAACCCCCAGGGAGTTAGGTCGATCTAAATCTAAATCTCTGGATCGATCTAAATCTCTGGAAATGCACCCATAAAATAGAAATTGAAAATGTACTCAATAAGTTAACAGAAAACTAGGCCATTGTATGTCAAATTAAAAAATATGAAAGAATTAAAACATGTAAGTCTTTAAAAACAATGCATATCTACCTGAACAAGTGAATCACCCCATATCAAATGTCAGCTCAGCATTTCAGATATTTTGTGACAATATGTTTGTAGTCCATTTTCTTATTTTCATTTTATTATTATAATTACTTAATATTATTCTTATAAATCTTCCATATTTTCATCTGAAAAAAAGCGCTAGGTGGCGCTATTATCATTCATGAAGTTGTAGCGATATGATGATTGGAATTCTTAATTTCAGCAATTGTCGGATACAAAAGAGAATGCGGAAACTCCACGACTTTTACGTGTAGAGGGGGCTCCGTTGGTAGTATCCAGGGGTCAGGGGGTGCATTTGGCGAAGAATGCTACTGTAATACCGACTACTGTAATGGCGCTACGTCACAGTTCATGAACCCAGGACCGCTGCTTCTTTTGGCTGTAACATCAATAATGAATGCTGTTTTTCTGCCCCACCTTCCTCACTTGATGAACTAACCTTCACAATGGGTTGCGGCCAGTCGTAAAGTTTCTTTATTCAATGACCTACATGGAATGTTGTCTGCAATGTGTATATTTCTCACTGTGATGTTGTCTTACTGTTATTGATTAGTGGTGCCGTGAACTCTTAACTGAACTCGATTTGAAAGAAAGGTGTCATCTACTCCCAGCATGTTTTCGCTTGGCCACCAAATTTAGGTAAACCTAACTTGATAATGCATTATTTTACGTAAGGCCTAATTAATTATAATATAATGTTTAAAACTTGACAAAGATATATATAAATCACCGTCGGTCTACGCTTGTCCGGGCATTTATAATTGAACTGACGACGTTCAACGACCTTGTAAAATAGTATCTTATTATCCTTTGATGGTTTTACTGTTCCTCAAAAGGTCGTCTTGTAAAAAATCTTATTAACTTTTTCATGGTTTTATGTAAGCGTCTGTCAGTGGTAATGTGTTGATGTCCTTTTGTGCAAATTGTTCTGTAACTTACGCTTTTTAATATATCTACAATAAAGGTAAGGGCTATGTTTTTAAATAGATTTTTGTAGAAAGCGACAGAGGGATGATTTTTACTGATATTATCATTCAAACCTTATATATATATATAATCATTTATACGGATTTTATAGGACTCACTGTTGGAGGTCTATCGTACGATAGGACTTTATTTTTTAAAATGTACATGTACTTAACTTATTTTACTCCGTTAAATAATTCTATTTTCCTTACATTCCAAGAAATAAACAACCTATGCACAGCACATGCGTTCGGTAATATTTGCAGCTTTCAGTACCTTGATGACGGTGTAACGTGACAGAGAGTCCCCCATAACAGAGAGTCCGATTCTCATTCATTTGTACAGGTGAGCCTCGCCCTAGATTTTGACCCTCTCAAGTCAGACTAACCCTAACCTTTATAACAAAATGGCGGGCGGACTTTCTGTAACACGGACCCTGAGTTTCGTTACACCTGTTCTGATCTCCATCGGTTCCATCAAACAACTGTTGACTGACCGTTAGTGTAATCATTAAGACAGGGAGTCTAGTGTACTTCATACGAAGCAGTGATGAAACATATTGTATGGAATCGAATAAATTATTCATATGTGATGTGTCTGGATCGATGAAACAATTGATCTTGTTGCAGATCTAGAGGGATACGCTTACTACACCCAACCCCAATGTACAGGTGCAAATAAGGTCACAGGAACGCTCTGTATAAATATTTAGTGCACGAATTACAACTGTGTTTGATTATTTTAGGGTGGTACATGAAGAAGTTTGTACCAAAGTTTCACTCTACTGGACCTATGAATAATAAAAATTAATTCATCGTCAAACCCCAAAAAGGAACATACGTTACTGTCACAAATTGAAAACGTCCAGCTGTGGAAACGTTTTACTCACTTCGAAAATTCAGTCATCATTGGTTTTGTTATTTGATTTATCTCTTACAAGTATAACTTTGGAAATAATGTTATAGTGACAACAACGACGATCTGGAGCTTCTGATATTTATTCCCCACACTCAATTTTTCACAGAATCTACAAGCATTTATATTCTATTTTCCATTCTCATATTTCCCATTCTCATATTACAAAATTCTATTCAATATTTCCTAATTTAGTAATTTAAATGAGACTTGTTTATGATTAAAAATAATTAAAATATTTTCCGAATTACTCATCTTGGATCTTGTCCAACTCAAGTATGCATGAGTTCTACACGTGTTAAACACGTGCAAATCGATAGAAAAATTAACCAATCAGATCCAACTATTTCTGACTCTGAAACGTTCCATACTTTCTTACTTCTAGAACAATATCTACACTTACTGACACTCAAAGAAATTTACTTGTACTCAATAACTTCCTCACATTTCATTCAGTTTACATTGTTTTGTAATTGACGAAAGTGTATGTCATTTGCTTTACAACAAGAAATTGATTATCTTCTGTATTGAACGGATAATTGTTTCTGAGCGACTTAAGTTTGCTTGTCACGGAATATTAAAAAAGTGGGGAAATACACCCTACTGACAGTAAAATAAGTCTTCCATTCGTGGTCAAAACATTGTATTAGAAATGTCAAAGTATCATGGAATCACAATGTATATTTTCAGTCAGTAACAGAAAGCGCTGTTTCCTATTGCACCACGTACTTGGGTAAGATGAAACTTTCTGACAATTTTTCTGGGGAACATACGTTACGTAGTATTAGTTATGACGCAAAGCCCCTTGAATCACAGTTTAAATATTTATAAAAAGGTCCTTACGTCATGCATAATATACCATAACCATTACAAAATAAATTGGAACGCGAGATAAAAATTAAAATTAAATGACCCGGAACATACGCTACCGGAATATACAGTACGTTACCATTTAGGGCTCCTTCCATAATGCAAAGACATGGTAAAAATTAAAAAGTAAATTAAAATTGAGACAGTCGCGGACTTCTGTTCTAAGATTTAAAAAATGAATACAACTTTTAATTCATTCAATTTTAATTTCTGAAACTTCAGGATGTGAAATGCACCTCTCATTGGGTCTGAGGGCCCAGCAATATCATGAGCCATGACCAACAGATTTAAACGCCTGAAGAACACATTTTGCAACCAGAACGCATTGATCCTAATTCTGGTGGTCTAAGGGTAGAAAGCAGAAATTACAATGTAGAAATTATAATCAACCAACCCCAGGGACGGCCCTAAGTCATAAAAATTTCCGGAGTGCCCAGGCACATCCCTAAAGATAGGTTTACTAACTATATCTATCTATCTAGTTTTTATAGATTATTTATCTGTTTATTTTATTTCTTACCCACTGACACAAAGTTAATGTTATTTATTCAGTGGAGAATTGACAATATGAACAATATTACTGCATTTTTTATTTATTTTAGAACAGCCATTTACCACTTCTTATCTTTGGTACACCGAAGAAACAATGAAATAATTCTGATATCAGATTTTGACAGGGAATCGCAAAGGATTTTGAAAGGCTCTATGGCAAATAAAAGAGCAGATAATTAATTTTGAAAGTTAAACTTCTTGCTGTTGGCCTTCCTCCAGATATGGAGGCAGCAGAAGGATCTGCCAAAATGATTTGCGGAGGTCCTCATTTCGTTTATTAATTGTTCTTGTATCACTATAAAATATGCTTTCATTTCATCATATGGTTTCAAAAACAAATTACAAATTATTCTGAGAATATTATAAGAAATCAACCATACGAGTACGATAACGTTGACAGTGAATGTTGGCATGACGTTCGTTTGAATTTGGTCTTGTTCGAGTCCATTGCGATAGTTGAGATTTAACAGCGTGAACAATTAAATTGTGTTGAAAGTGATAAGTTTCTTGACAAAAATTCAAATGATGAAACTACACAGACGAAACTTTTGAATCATCAAGGCAAATGAAAATTTTAATTGTTAATAAAAGAACTGAATCTTTACAATTGTCCACTTAATATTTCATTTGTTTTATTGCATTTTTGCATAGCCAAATCTAATCACAGTCGCAATGTAACAATATTCTTTCCAACAAACAGAATGGGATCTCTTTGACGCAGGTACTATTTTCACGCGGAGCAACCGCCTCTCTTCTCATCTTAACTTTTCCTCCACTGCTTCAGCTACCACTTTAAGACCCTTAAAGAGGTCCTCGCCAACGCGGGGGATGTGACTAGCGGGGAGGTTGAACCCGTACCAGCGATCCGATGTTTGGTCCCCGGGACTCAGTTCTATTGTGTAGGAATACTTTATGCCCGCTTTACCCTTAGCCCAGTCGTCAGAGCCTCCGGCGGCAGGATCTGGAATGAGAATTCATTTTCATGGTAACTAAATCTTTTTCATTGTGGAAGAGTGTTAGTTTCTAATGACTGGTACATCAAAACAACAAGATCAAAAACAATTTGTTTTAATTGATTTGGGGTATTTTTCTTATTAACATCCTTTTTCTATTTATCTAATATTTTTTTCTTTATTGTTGTTTTAACAATATTCTAGGCCTTTAAGAAGCCTGTAGCGACGGCTTGCGCCTGTATACAGTTGCTCGTAAAGCCTGCGGTCAAAATCCACATCTTTATATTAGATTTCCCAACCGACATGTATTTGCAAAACTGCGGTGTACTTGTTTTTCGCGGATGTACTCCTATATAGTATTAAAGGTATACGTACACAGCAATACCCCGGCAGATCCGAAGGAATAACTTTGGCCACGGACAGAGAGTATAGCATCAGAACCTTTCTTGGCAATGTTCAGCTAGAATGAGAGGGACAGAATTCTAACACAACTAATTCCATTTTTAAGAAAATTCACACAGAAAAAAATTCTCAATTCTCAAGCAATTTCAGCCTTCTCCTTTGTCACAAAGTAAACCAAAACTCTTCTCAGACTTACTTATATTAAACCTAGTTTTGATAAAACTACCTTTAATAATAATTATAATAATAATAATATCCCACCAGTTCTTGATAGTCACTTGGAAGGTTTCTGGTGTATCCCCATGACGTCAGCCAGTAATTCCCGTAACTATGGAGACTAATGTAAGTCTTTATGATGTGTCTCTTGGAGTAGATGAAGTCTCTCATCGCCTGGGTTTCTGGCTCGGAAAACGCCCTCTTGCCGCCGTAGGTTTCAGCACACGGGTACTGGCTTGTTCCACTCTCTATCACAGACAAGAATAACTTTTGAAGATTGCAGAAATGCTATCGAAGTTAGATCTGTTTTAAAACAGAATTAACTGTCTTACGCCGCATTCAGAACAGTGGACTAACTAGTCCGTGGGTCGAATATAGTGACCCACTAAAAAGCTTGCCGTCCAATCCGTTAATAGACACTGAATAGATTCCCCGTGGGGAAGTATTCAAGCCAGACGGCCATATTTGACCCTCAGACTAGTTAGTCCACTGTTCTGAATGCTGCCTTATTGTCGCTAGTGTGCTAGCACGCCTTTTTTACGGTTGTTTCAACAAATCTTGGTTTGTTTTACATTATAAACTTATTTCAAAATTACGCTCTTCTTAAATTGATAAATAGCCATCAATATACTTAATGATTCTTAAAATACGGGTGCTGCACATTTTGTGGCCGTCAGTGCAGTTAAACGTTCTGGCGGGACGCGTTTTCCTACCTCCCCAGTGAAAGTTAAAGTTCCTGTTGGGGTCGACGCCGTAGCATGAATAGCTCTGCTTGGACCGTGTCTTGCGCCACATGCGATCCTAAAACAGGGTGATTGAAGGTAATGGTAACACATTTGAAGCTTCTATTCAGTTTATACATGTATCGAACTTGAAAGATCTAACTGTAGCTTTTTTTATATATAGCATAAATTGAACTCGTTCCTTTACCTGAGTGTGGGTGTATTCATATCCATCAGGGTTGGCCACGGGTAGAATATACCAGTCATACGTATCCACCATAAACTTCACGTCTGGGGTGTTGTAGTCTGTAATCAGCTGGGAGATGAGGAGATAAAAACAGTGGTAAAGTTTATAAATTCTTTAGAATCAATGTAACAAAGATAATTGTTGTACATTGTTGTTATTGAGCAATAAACAAATAACTAAAAAACAAACTAAAGACATAAATAAATGCTCGTTAGACTTGTTCCAAAAGGAATAATACAGCCATTTTAATGACTTATAACATATCACAGATTTTTTTTTAATTCACATATTATTAAATTATGTGAAAGATAAGTAAGACACGATAAGAGTTATCTCTCAAAACACAACCAAAGGGGAAGTTAAGTGCGCGGCGACATCAATGAAACCCTTGCATGTTTCTTTAATCTGTTAGAAAAAACACATTACCGTACCAAGTGTGTTCATTACATAACGATTGATCTGTTACAAAACCTGTTCCTGTACCAAGCGTGCACGCCACATAGCGATTCATCTGTTACAAGAAGCAACACCACATCAAGCGTCACATAACGGATTGCATGTACCTTGTTAATAAAGTAAAGCGCGGAGGCCGGCGCTATCCATTCCCTGGCGTGTATCCCAGCGTCTACCCAGATGGCTGGTTTGGTAGTGCCGGGTTTTGGAGTCCCAATCTGAAACCATTGTGGGTTAATAAGTTGAAATAAATTTTTGATTGTCTCTTGTATTGCGGTGGGAAAAGGAAGGTCGTTTTAGATTTCTCAAGACACTTAACGAGATACGAAGTTTCTGTCCTTAAACAAAGGACCTTGATTACGTGACAGACTCGTAAAAAATCGGTTAAACACTTGAAGAGCGCATTCAGAACAGATATTCAGCTGACTAACTGATTCGTCGACTAAATATGGCCGACCCCGCTTAAAAGCAAGCCGCTTAATTCCCTGATGGTCTCCCCGCCTCCACACGCCTCATTAAACGGCTCCGCTAGTCCCTGCAGAGACGTTGCGATTGAAGGCGGGGAGGCAATCAGGGAATTAGCGACATCGCTTTTAACTGTGTCGGCCATATTTAGTCAGCGGATCTGTTAGTCCGCGGATCACATTGTTCTAAATGCGCTCTTAGTCCCTGAAGAAATGACTTTCTTATTTTACCAACTCTGTGTGTCTTCAACAAAGGTAAAACGGCCGGTATAAGTCCGTATAAACAGAAATTGAACGCTCCAAATCAAGACTCCCTTTTTGCTCATTACAATGTTTCGTGTGTTTGGAGCCAATATTTCGCCCTAATACTATAAACATCGTGTATGACAGTGATCCCAACATGCTATTTACCGAATTTATGCGCTCACTTTATCTTTAATTATTTGTATATGATATTTTTTCCGTATGCTAATAAACATATGACAACGTAGTAAAAGTGTTTTACACCAGTGATTCAATAATTATACCTTAAAAGACGTATATAGCCTATAATATTGATCCCGACATGATAACAATAGCATATACGTATATTCGCCTCCTTTGTCTAAAAAGTCGCAAGCAATTTACTAATGAATTAAATGGGGAGTAGCTCGTGCTCATTATTTGTCCCTTTTGCCTTAAGAGTGACATTATTAATTTACCCCTGTTTTGTATGCATTATAACGGTGATAACAGTACCTTTATTCCACGCAGGGGTCGTCCTTCGTACGAGTTCTTGGGCAGGTCAAAAAGGGAACACTTCCCCTGGCAGGCAGTAGACTGCGACACTGTCCTCAGCCAGTTGTAGATCTGAAGGCAACAGAGGTTTATCCAGTCCAATCAAGCAACAGGGGTGATTTACATGAAAATAATAGTTATTAAGTTTATTTGCTGCCAAACCGTTGACATTTAACTGTACGATAGATTTTATGTGTACGTGTTCACGCGCATATCGAATGAGCGTATTTGTGAAATGGAAGAATGAGACATTTTAATCAGCAATTACTTGTTGAAAATATGGTACCGTTTTTATATAATATAATTAGGAATCGTTTTTGTTACTTACGTCGTTCACTCTATTGAAATTATCGAGGCTGAATGCCGCTTGGCGCTGTAGACTGAAACCCGCCAGGTTGAAACTTAAAGATCGTTTCTTCCTTTTCTGGACTTCGTGTTGTTCTTCATCTATTACCCTGGAAGTGAGGAGTTGATTTGCAGCTCTGTATCTAAACTGTTTGGCGAATGTTATGTCTTTTTCACATTGAGCGGTAAACTTAAATAGACTGGTCCACTTTGACAGATCGACAACTTAAAACCTGGCTATTACTTTAGAGAGACGTCTAAACAGGGTTCCCGCCCTCGCCAATTCTCAAAACAGCGGGAATAGAAAACTTGGGGAGAACAAGTCAAAGGGAGTAAATCCTGTAATGACATCTTAAAGTGGACTGGTTCAGTTATGTATACAGCTCGTGCAGGTCCACCAGTGTTTTTTATATCAATTTTATCACAAAGAAATAATATTGACTATATCAGATACCATTAAAGATCAACCATAAGATTGATAACACAATGATGTGAACATGCATCTGGTCATTTGCTGGCCGGAACACTTACAGATCGAAACCTTTTTTTCTTCCATCTGGTTGATTCTCGGGTGCGACCGTGGATAATACGGAAACACACGATTTTTACCGAACACAATGACGAACACACTACCATAGTTACCTGCACCATCGTGCGCACCTCTACCACAATAACGCAATCATTTGCTATATTTATCTTGCATTCATACTGTGTATCCAATACCTTCCAAGTCTAGATAAACCACAAGATTTGCATCACCACTAAAATCAAAGGAATCTGTCTGAAAACAACCTGCCTAACAAAACCGCAGACTCTTCTATTGGTTTTGAGCTGTTAGCGGGCCTTGGCTTCGACGGTTATATGGCACACAAATGATGCTTTTCCGATAATTCGTCTATTTTCTAGTGAGTATACTAAGACATGCCAAGCACGAATCGATTGAGAAAAATCAATATCAACTTTGTCAAAAAAAAAAAAAAAAAATTGAGCGCCTTTTTTCGTCTCGAGTTCTCACCATTTCTGTGCTACAAGATATATTCACCTGCAAACTGATGGCTATAAGCGTTAGGTGGAAGCGTAGGGACAACTGATCACGACGTTTTATTTTGGAAAGGAAAGGTTCTTACTGAGAAATCGTTTTTGTAGTATTTTTTAACGTTCATCTACACGTTCTCCATATTTAATACCAATTTTGCTTTTTTCTTTCCGCATTTTTGGATGAGACTGCTTTAAGAGTGTGGACGGTGAAAATAGACAAATACACTCTACTAGGATCATTTCTACAAAATTTAACAAATCCCCAATAAACATGTTTACCTGGCGACCTTACTTTCAATCAGTTTACATGGTGGTTTTACTAAGAACCAAATCTCACCATTGAACCATTTACCGATGAACTCCTACTCACTTTTGAAGATCATCAATCAGTGTCTTGTGTTTCAAGCCGTCGTCTGAGAGTTTTTTCAGCGTGGATTCCACTTGGTGGGCGGGCAAGCGGATGTCGGCAAAGCCTCCGACTCCCTTTGGATTGGCCCAGACATCGAGCTGAAAATAGAGGGCGTTGCTATTTACCACATGGACATTTAGCAGTCGACATAGTGCGTTATAAGTAAAATTGTGAGATGTCTTCTTATCGAACAGATAGATATGTATAGAAGAAAGAAAGAATGATGATGTAGTAAAATGGTTAGAAATAAGGGCTTTGAAGAATAAAGGACAATACAGTGAAGTATTGTTAGCTAGATGTCTAAAAGAAAATAATTTGAAGGTAACTTACAATTATTGGTTGACTTGACATGTACAAATAATCAAGTAAAACATAGCTTATACAACTAAAATAATAACGTTATGATAAATGTAGGTGAAACTAGATAAATGAATGGAGTAGTTTGATACTATGCATTGCACTCACGCCGCGTTCCTCCTCAGCATGTATAAAACTGCGTATTTTCTCGAGTTCTTCCTGAGTCTTGGCTACCATGCGTATGACCTTGTGACTGAAACGTATAGAAATATAAACTTCTATAATTACCAGTATTTTTAGCTGCGTATTTCAACTTCTATGTATCCTGTGATATCAGGGCTCCCTAACGTACTACAGTACATGTATACAAAATCACACTGTGAGGGCCCTGTCGGAATCGGTGCACATTAACAGCCTGGGATGATTTCAATTCAATTCAATTTATTTCTGTACTGGTAAATAAATTATCATGACTTTGTGCTACAGAATATAATAAAAACAATACAATTGGCGCATAACCATTCTCTAATTGGTAATTGTGTTGCTTACCAGTTAGTTTGTGACTGAACAAACTGGCAACACAATTACTCGGAACATGGGTGTGGGATGGCTCCCACTGGGTATGTCTGGCGAGGAATACGTTGATTGCTCCAAACATCACAGAATGCTTTTCAACACTTTCGTACCAGACTACTACAGTAGTGCACCCTGTGGTCAGAGAGTATACTTGTATGTAACTGGCGTAAGCGTGAGGGCCATGTGTAAGATTAGTGTGTGCACTTAACATGTTTTACCCTCTTTAAAAAAGCTCATTATTATTTTATGAGAGGGTCCATTAAGATACTAGTGATAAGCACCGGTGAACCGATTTTGATCCACTTACGTCACATTAACCCTGACCTGTAGGAGTTTCTTTTGTTTCTTTACGCGTGCCCCTGATTTGAAGTTACAATGCTGGTGATAATACAACTAGATTCTGAATTTCTGGGTGAACATTCCGGTGTATTGTGAAGGAGAGTCCCACACAACAGAGAGTCCGCTACCCAATCATCTGTACAGGTACGCCTCGCCCTAGATTTTGACCCAACTATGTCAAACTAACCCTAACCGTTATAACTACTCGTATATCGAGGGCGGACTTTCTGTTACACAAACCCTCAATGTCGTAACACCGGTTCCCTTTTCCATTAAATTTTCTGAATTTTAGACCACTTGTGGTAAAAAATGAGAATCGAAGTTCTCTATTTCTCATAACATAATGAATATCTCAAAGAGATAAGAAAAGAATAGAGAGACAGAAACCATTTAAACAGAATTGGCCCCAAGATTAAATATCCCCACCTGCTCGTCCTCCATTGACTTCCTGTCAACGTGCCTTATCACCTGTATGACAAAGTTTTCACCTTGAAATTCTAACAAGTTAGAATTCAATGGATTGACGAACAAGGGAATAATTATCTCACATGTGGAACATAAACAACTAACTATTGGTATTGTTCGAAACATTTGTTGATGGAGTCAACTGTTTTACGAATTTAAGCAAAATTTGTAGAAGTTTATCGGAATATAAATTAATTAAATTATTAAATTATTTATTTATTTATTTATTTATTTATTTATTTATTTATTTATTTAGGAATTCGTACATAGCGTGATACACGAGGACATAACACCAACAATTGAACAAAAAAAAAAAAAAAAACATTGGCGTCCATCAAAGAGGTGCATATCCTCAGTTGACCTCTGATGTGCAATCAGTAGCAGTTCATTGTGAAATTTGATACAGTAAAAAACAAAAACAGTGTTCGAGGACGAGGGCGTATCTGAGACAAGTACACACGCGGTTCCGATGTTTGGACGGACATCATCAACAACACGACTTCTAAAAACAAAAACAAATAATACATTAAGTCCTTGTCATACTTTTTCGTATATTTTCAGTGCGTATGAGTCCCTTGTGATTTTTTTCAATCAGCAGCTGTAAATACAAAATTGCGAAGTGTTGACATCAGCTTTGACATCAGCACATTTCGCGAGTGAAAAATTCAATGTGGCATATAACACATAGGTTGTGTTTATGTTTGCTTATTGAAAAAACGCATAGAGGGTTGACATACGCTTATTAAGTGTGACAGAACTTAAATTGCGTAGAAAGCGTATCAATGCGTACAGTTCGTAACCCTGGATGCCAAGCTGCATTAAGATGACAGAGAGACAAAAGAAAAATTGCTTGTCCTCCCTTCCCTCATTGACAAAATTCTGGGTTCGCCAAGACTGACACGCTTTCGTGAGAAGGGGAACGCTGTTATTGATAAAAGATCGCTGCGTTCAGAGATCATGACACCAATTAAAGGAGGTCTGTTGTATTGTGCCGGGAGGAAGATGAAAGTCGAAACTAAATGGCGGATCGCGTGCTGACTCGATGTTAACCAGTTCGTCGCCACCTGTTGCGTGCTGAGCGATAGTCGTGAAAAAAAAAGCACGGACGGGTTCAGAGTTTTGTGGAGGGGGTTGGGGCAGGGATATATGCAAGGCAAATATAAAATATTGGTCCACTTTGCCCCCTTCCCTTCTTTTTATTTTTTGCATGGAGACGCCATTGAATGAAAGAAATGATAATGAATGATGAACGAATATGTAACGACTCTACCAGCTTGAAACTTAGGTCACCTTTTGTAAACGTTAATTTTATTTTGATTGATAGTGTCAGCCTATTGGATAAAAGGCCTACAGTATTTGATTGTTCTTTGTTAAGTGAACTAAAGGTGCTACTGAATCCCAACTACTGAAATTTGCTCCGTGCCCAGCCCAACCTCAGTGCGGTTAGATTATACACTAAGACTGAATCTCTCTCTCTCTCTCTCTCTCTCTCTCTCCCTCTCTCATATTCTCTTCTCTCTTTCATTTTAAGGCCTTTTTAAGACCTTTGTTTTAATGCCAACAATATCTAGTGTCCTGGTGTATTTTGTTCCAGATGTGAGACAAGAGTGCTGTTATGAAGCCTTATATTGGTTTTCGTGTTTTGCTTAGAATACTTCTCTTAATTACCCATTGTTTCTAGAAAATCGCACGATGTCTTGTTGACGCAGAGAGTTCCCGCTGATTTTTTTTCACACGTATACTCGTTCTGATAGTAAAAAGTGAAAATGGGTCCTTTAACGTGCCGAATCTCTGAACGCTATATTTTAGAGGATATGTTAAGTTACACCCCGAAGTTCGGGTGTTACTAAAAATTTGTATTTATGATCATCATCCCTGTGTCGTTTTAAAGTAGAATTGTCAAATATTTGCTGATAATAGCGGGCAGTTTCAGGTTATTTATATAAATAAGAAAAATAATAATAACAACCGAAAAAGATGGCGGGCATTCAGCACCCTCTTGTCCTTCGCCTATACATCTTCCGAGCCTCAAAAGAAACATGGCAGCCTGCCTGCATAATTCCCTACATCCAGAAACACAAAACGACTAACAAAACTTACTTACGTAAGTTTAAATACTCAGGGTTATAACTGTAAATAAAGGCCAGTGTAACGTGACAGAGAGTCCCCCCATGATAGAGAGGTCGCTTCCCATTCATTTCTACATGTAAGCCTCTCCCTAGATTTTGACCCACTTAGGACAGGCTAACCCTAACCACTATAACTATATGGAGGGCGGACTTTTTGTTACACGGAAACTCAGTTTCGTTACACCGGCTTTCCAATAAATTCTGATATTTTCCGAAATAAACTGTGCAGGCCCGTAGCTGGGGGGATTCGGGGGGGGGGGTGTACGAAAGAACACCCCTTTTTGCTGTGAAAAGGTCCCATCTGAGTAAAATTTTATCTAGGTACACAAAGGTTTTATGGTAAAAGGTCCACTTTTTCAGAAAAAGAACCCCCCTTTTGAAATGGCAGGCTACGGGCCTGCTACGAAATATATGACGAATACCGCTAATGGCGGCTAGCTTATGAAAAAAACGATGAAATTCAGGGTGCTCACTGTGCAAACGTGGGTAAAATTCATCATGGGTCACGAGAACAACCGAGGCCGTGGAATATTGTTGATATTGAAAACATATAACAGAAAAAATAATATTTAGAAAATATGGACTTTTGTTAGCACTCTGCTCGTTTCTCTATTGTACAGGAAAACACACGTGTTCAGCGTGCGATGAGCTTACACAAAGTCGCAGCCACACAAAGTAAAGCAGTTAGAGAAAATAATCAAGTCGACTGATAAAGGGCAGAAACCCCTTTACCCTCCCCTTCCGCCCCCCTCCTCTTCCCGTTGCCTATCCTTCTTTGTTGACCACTGTCTCATTAGTGAATCCAAACTGAATAGCTAAATAAAACAATTGTTTATTATACTATATACTGCACAAACATGAAGTGCTTAATGCTTGCTTTTCTCTGTCTCCTTGGTAATTTTTTTCAATTCTCTATAATTAAAATTTATTGTCAAGCACGTGTTCACTCTTGCTGTTTTGTGTGCGTCAACTGTCGCTACCTCGGTGAACAATAAATCAGCCTCCTCGGCATTAGGCTGTGAACAACCCATGGCAATAGACCGTCTTTCCGTAAGTGGCGTGCCCCTTTTTTACATTTTTATGAAAGACTGACAATTTTATTTGAATCAGAACTCTATCTCAATGACCAAATAGCACTTCTGAAATGAATTTCAGACACAAGATTTTGGCACGGCAATTGTTGGTCAGGGAATTCATATCGATTTAACAAATTTGTTCGCCGATTATTCTCTCTCTCTCTCTCTCTCTCTCTCTCTCTCTCTCACACACACACACACACACACACAAAGAGAGAGAGAGAGAGAGAGAGAGAGAGAGATAATCCTCTCTTTCTCTCTCTCGCATACGTACGCGCGATCATGCCTGCATACATAAAACAAACAAACACACACACACACACACACACACGCGCGCGCGCGCGCGCACAGACACACTTATTTACGTACGGGTCCACACACAGTGATCTCATTATTTTTTTGTACTGTTAGTTACTGGTGGTTATGAATAATTCAGTCAGCCTCCAGATCTAGTTTTAGACCTACAGGTTCATCACGGTGACAACAGAGAAAAAAGTCACCGTGTAGTCACACAGAAATAGGGCACTTCACAGAGACCAAGTGTGATGATAAGATGGACGAAGGTTAGCGGAGTTCTCTGGGTGGACATTCTATTATTAATCTATCAGACGCTGTGTCACGATTTCCCTAATCTGACGGTCACGCCGTTCGTGACGCGGCAGACTCAG